GAGTCTGCTATTGCCGTTTGAATCCTAGCTGTTGCTGTTACCCTGTGGTGCTAAAGCCCCAGATTGTCCATCCTGTCCTAACTGCACTTCATATCTGACATATGCGTTATGTTCATAGATTGTTTGTAACCTCAGTGATCTTTCCCTTGATGCCTATGGTGAGCTTTAAACATATATATAGTATCAAAGATGTTTGTTCAAAGTAACTGGAGATACCATACCTTGCAGGCGGGATGTACGCCTTTGTGTAGCACCCAGCACTCGGTGCAGTACAGTGTGATGAGTTCTGTTAGGGTTCCAGACTGTAGTAGTTTCTAGAAAGGGCACCATTTGGGGAGGAGATAAAGGAAACTAAGGACGGGTATAGTGTCCAATAAGCTGGAAACGTAAGCGGAAGCCAGATACAGCAACTTTTATAATCAAGCATTCTAGTTGGCCAGTTAGCTCAGTTGGTTAGAGCATGGTGCAAATGAAATCCAATATTCTGACATGGTACAATCCAAATACTAATCTTGTTCATACAAGCTAAGGACTAATGACAGGAAAATGTTGAAAGTCTTCATTTTCCAGAAGTGAACTATCATGTTTCTATAAGAGCAGAAAACTCTGTTCATATAGTAAAAGCACTGCAATACTATCCAGTCTGAGGCAATGTGTTTGAAGGAGTGCTTGGTGACGGAGCAAATTCAGTGCACAATTCTCGTGTTACAAGTTCAGAACCAAGACTTGAGTAAAGTTGTGGAATGCAGCACAGGTGAGGACTGCCTGAAGGACCCTGGATTCATCACATTTGTTTTTGAATTAATATTTGGTTGTTTTGTGTTCAGAAACCCTTTAGGGTTGCCAATTTTTTCACACTTACATTTGATTTTGGGACCCACAGAGTCACCTCACAGTTGAAGTTTTGGTCTTAATAATAAGAAAGAGAGGAGAAGGGAGAGACTACTTAGAACAGAAGGGGCAGTGGAACGGCTGCATTCCCTCCTGTTATGGTTAGACTTCAGATCATAATTGATGTTCCTCACTGTTTTCCTCTAACACTCATTCCTGTGATTCAGTTCCTTCTAGGCAAGATTCACTGAATGATGCTATAAGTCGAACTTTTATCCCTGTGACTATGAGTCTCTGGTTACCCTCAGCAACATCCTAAATTGTCCTAGTGGCTATCACTATGCATAGAAACCAAAGAGGCAGCCCAGTGAACCCAGAGTTCCAGACATCCTCTTCCCTGCTCTGCTCGTTTTTTACAACCCTATCTCCTCTTGACCATCATGATGAATTATTCTGTGTTAAGTACCTTCTTTAACTGCTGATCTATGAGCACAAACCTTAAAAACAATCAGACGGGAGAGGAAATGGTAGCTTTAACCAAATCCTTACTGTGTTCACTTTATAAGTACCAAGACCCCTAATTCTCAGAACTTCAAGGTCTAGCAAGGGGATGCACACTTTTAGAATGCGTTACTAAGGGAAGATCCATTTCATTTTTTTCATTCTCAGTTATTCATAACATAGCATCAAATGTACTAGCATCATTTTAGAGCCAGTCCTTAGACCTTGACCACATAGGCAACATTCCCACTAAAATACACTCACATCTCTCTGTGAATGAAAATCTGGTCTACTGAAAAGAGCCTGCACTCAGTTTGTCATTATTATATCTCTCCTTTTGAAGATTCATCATTGTATTAAGGAAGAGCATATATTCTACACTCAGCTAAGGGATATTAACAATTGGTAGGTTCTCTGGCCTTTCAAAATATTGTCTATCATTTCCCCTTCTGTGAGAAATTAAATAGCTTCTTTGCTTTGCCAAGGTAATTCTGCCCATTTCCACATCATTTATTTTAGGTCAACATCATTTTCAAGCTTCAGTAGCACACTAAGACAACTACAGGTAGATTTCCCAGAATGTTAAAAATTACACATTAGAGTTCCCTCATGAATGGGTTCTCTACTATTTGATCTTGTGTACATCAAGTTCTCTCTGATCTAATACCTTAATATGTCAAGGTTAATTGCTTGAAATGTTTTCTAGATTAGTGTTAGAATTTGTTAGTCAGACTTTTTAGTTTGCTTGATGAATATCAATCTCATCCTACAACAGAGACCATTTTTTTCCTTCCAAATCCTGCAAGACTTGGCCCTGAAGGGTCCTGACTTTAGTGACAGGAACTTGCTAGCTCTGTGAATTCACCCTCATTTACACCTCTATCTCTCCTCCAAAAAAACTTCAGACCTGACTTAGGGAGGGCTGTGCAGTAACTGGAGGAAAGGCGGGCATGTTGCTGGTTACTCTGAGGTCCTCATTTGCACACCATATTCCTAGCAAGTGCTGATTGATTTGAGACTACATTTCTTTCTCCAGAGTTTTTTTTAAATTTTCAATTAATATGTTAAATTAATAATATAGTGTGCCATATTTCAATCCTTACATATAATATGCACTGATTAATTCAAGAGAATTGACATTTCTATCTCCTTGGGATATTTGTGAACTTTGAGGCCCCTTTTTTAGCTTTTTATAAAAGTACCGTAGTTTATTGGGAACTACCATAACCTTACAATGCTGCAGAACACCAAGAGCTATTCCAATTTTCTATTTTCATGTCCATTATCTACCCTCCCTCTGTCACCCCTGTGCCTTTGTTGCCTCTAGTAATTGCAATTCTATCTTTATTACTTTGACATCAGCTTCTTCAGCATCCACATTTGCAAGAGAGCATTCAGTATTTGTATTTCTGTGCCTAGCTTATTTTATTCAACATAGTGTTCTCCCATTTCCTTGAGTTTGCTACAAATAGCAGGCTTTCATTTTTCTGTGGATTAGTAGTACTCCATTGTTTATACTTTTTACTTATTCACTCATCTGTTGATGGAAACTTTGGTTGACTCTACACCTTAACTGTTGGAATAATGATGCAATAAACATGAGAGGGCAGATATCTCTTTGATATGCTATTTCATTTCGTTTGGCTGCATGCCTAGAAGTAATTGGCTGGACCATGTAGCAGATCCATTGTTAACTTTTTGAGAAATGTACTGTTCATCATAGTGGCTGTGTTAACTTACATTCCCACCAATAGTGTATGAGTTACATTTTCTCCAGCATTTATTTTTCATTTTGTGGTGCTAGTCATTCTGACTGAAGTGGAATTATATCTCTTTGTTTTGATTTGCATTTCTTGGGTGGCTAATGATATTGTGACAGGTAAAAAGTTGGCGGAGTACAAGCGAATGGATGATGAGGCACTGAGGCACAGCTAAAACTCCATCAAGATAGGGTTTATTAGCAAAGGAGAACATGGGGCAGATTCCCTTCCAGGCAGGGAAAATGTCTGCCAGGGTCTTGAGCTGGGGTCTTTTGAAAGGGAGGCTTCTGCTTCCTGCAGAAGGCGGGAAGATGTATTTTTTTTTTTTTAAAGTTGGGTTGGGGGGGAGTGAGAGAGCAGGACTGTTAAAACCTGTCCTCTTGGAGATCAAAGGGGGAGCCTGCTGTGTTGGCCAAACAGTGGAGAAAAGTCTGCTTCTCTTGACTTCAAAGACCAAGGTTCTTATCAGCTAGGTTCCCTCTTCTCAGGAGCATGAGAAGTCCTTGGGATCCTGTTGGTGAGGGGGCAGGGCTATCTGAACCTTAACATATTGTACTTTTTTTTTTCATAGACTTGTTGATCATTTGTATTTCTTCTTTGGAGAAATGCCTCCAGATCATTTGTCCATTTTTAATGGATTTGTTGCTGGGTTTTTTAAGTTCCTTATATATTCTTGATAGGAATCATTTATCAGAGGAATAGTTTGAAAATCTTTTGCCCATTCTATAGTTTGACTTCTCACACTGTTGACTGTACTTTGCTGTGCAAAAACTTTAGAGTTTGATAAAATCCTATCTATTTACTTGCCTATTCCTTCAAGGTCTTACCCAAGAAGTTAGTTCCCATACTGCTGTCTAAAAGTGTTTCTCTGCTTCTTTAGGGTTTCTATAGCCATTAACTGCTGCTCAGTCTTTCAAGCACGGAAGCAATAACATTTCCTTCCATCTGTCTTTGGCCTTCCTGATGAAAATCTTAGCAATCATAGGACTAATGCATAACTCTTCTCACCAGCAACAGGTCTTCTTGGTTGTGGCTTGATGGTGAATGACTCAATTCAGGAAGCTGGTACTAAAAATCTTCTTCCTAGGACCACCTCTGTTTTAACAAATTTAGGTTGCCTTCCCTGGATTTGAATGAATGCAGTTTAGCTGGAAGGTTAATCCAAAAACACAAGTAAAGGAGAAAGGCAATAATTTGAAGTGAATTAAATGGGGAAATTACTTCTGTGTGAACAAGAACTTAATCCCACTAGTTAGTTCACAGAACATGCTCTGGGATTATCTTTCCTGTGGGACAAGGAACATGGGTTATTTATAGCTCATCCTTGTTCCCATTGATTGAGAGCTGCTCCAGTAAGCAGGAACTCTTGAGCTCTTCTTGACTGCGAACCTTTCCTGGGCCAGCTGCTAGGGAGCAAGGCCATGCCCTAAGGGCAAAGGAAACACAGCACAAATGCCTGGAGATGGTGCTTACAGAAACGACTTTCAAGGCTACATATTGAAAAATCTCTGCTACAAAAGATAAAGCTCTTAAGAGTCCAACCTGCTCCGCTCATTCCCTTGGTATCAGTGGAAAATAATTCCAGTAAAAATGTTAACTACCTGCAGCATTTCAACAATATTGCCAGCTGTTTTTTGTTTTTTGTTTTTTTTTTAAATGTTATTTGTCTCTTACCTTCTTGGTCAGAATACATAAGGATGTATTTCTCTGATTATCCAAGAATATATAAACGCTGGTTATTTTCTTGACCTAAATACTGAAAGAAACAGTAGCTGCAAAAGGAATAAATGTACCCCAATTCCTTATGTCATTTCTGGTACAAAATTTAGAAATGGATATTGAGAAACACGGTTATAGTTTCCAAAAGAGCCACAATACCAAGAAAGGAACTTAAAGTACTTTCAGAAATAGGGAAACAGCATCTTTAATGTTTTATTTTTCACTTGTGAAAATATATATAACATATCTCACATGTACAAAGGAGTCCCGCAGCTCTTGTCAGGGAAATCTAAAAGAAAGGCACATACAGGGAGCAGATCTTTCCACACAGTTTTCAGTTAACCCGACATGCAGGGCACAGTGAGAGACAAGGAAGGCAACAAAAGCAGAGGCGACCTGTGCGCATGACTCGAAAGCCACATCACAGACAGCTCTTAAGCCAGCCAAGAATGGAGAAAACACTGTTTCTCTTTAATAAGCCTCTCAGACCACCAGAAAATAGATTGAAACCTGAACAAAGACACACCAGGGCAAGGCAAACACCCACACTTAGCTTGACAGCAGGCTTGTTCTTAGCCCCGTTCGCTGAAGTCCAGAGGCCTTTGGTGGTTTAAAGGAGCAAATATCAAGGTTGACTCCATCCCTGAGAAATTTTGTTCGGTGATATTAACAGCATTTTGTAACCGGCTAAGATTTTAAAAGCTTGTAAACACTGCTGACGGTGGGGAAAACAGAAAAGAACATTTGCCTATTTCTCTTTGACAGGACGCATACAGTTATACATATTTGCTTGCTTCCCTATCCTGGTTTGGCCCCATATGGTAAAAAATCAAGGCACAATTCATGAGATCATGGGATATGTCTGTCATACGCCAGCAAAGGAGCCTTCTAGGATTTGGCACAGCTGGAGCAGCTGACAGCCTTGGGAGACGTGAGGTGGGGCTTCACGATGTCTGGCTCAATGGACTCCATGAGGTCAGACTCATTTGCCAGTATGTGCTTGACCAGGCATCTAGAGGCTTCGTCGATGTTTATATTTTCCTAAGGAGGAAAAAAACAGTTTTTCTTATTCAACATTCAAAAAAAAAAAAAAAAACATTTTGGAACAGTCTAAGTGTGCCATGTTTATGTGTATGGATTTGTGTGTGTGTGTGTGTGTGCCATGTTTATGTGTATGGATTTGTGTGTGTGTGTGTGTGTGCCATGTTTATGTGTATGGATTTGTGTGTGTGTGTGTGTGTGCCATGTTTATGTGTATGGATTTGTGTGTGTGTGTGTGTGTGCCATGTTTATGTGTATGGATTTGTGTGTGTGTGCAACGTTTATGTGTATGGATTTGTGTGTGTGCAATGTTTATATGTATGGATTTGTGTGTGTGCAATGTTTATGTGTATGGATTTGTGTGTGAGTGTGTGTGCAATGTTTATGTGTATGGATTTGTGTGTGTGTGTGCAATGTTTATGTGTATGGATTTGTGTGTGTGTGCGTGCAATGTTTATTGTATGGATTTGTGTGTGTGTGTGTGTGTGTGTGTGTGTGTGTGTGCTTGTTCTGACCA